CGCGCCGCGCCGCGCCGCGCCGCCGGAGAAGTTGGCGGGCATGGAGGGCGGCGGCGGGGGGCTGCCGGCGGCGCTGGAGAAGAACGTGGCCGAGCTGACGGTGATGGACGTGTACGACATCGCCTCGCTCGTGGGCCAGGAGTTCGAGCGGGTCATCGACCAGCACGGCTGCGAGGCCATCGCGCGGCTCATGCCCAAGGTGGTGCGCGTGCTGGAGATCCTCGAGGTGCTGGTGAGCCGCAACCACATCAGCCCCGAGCTGGAGGAGCTGCGGCTGGAGCTGGACCGGCTGCGGCTGGAGCGGGCCGACCGCATCGAGAAGGAGAGGAAGCACCAGAAGGTGGGGAGGGGGAGGGGTGGGCGCCGACCTGCTCCTGGAGAGCCTGCCTCCCGCCCGGGCTCCTCAGGCTGCTGCTCCCCCTCCCGCCCGGGCTCCTCAAGCTTCCCGGGTTCCTGAAGCTGCAAACTCCTAAAGCTCCCTGGTTTTTAAAGCTCACCAAGCTGCTGCTCCCCTCCCCCTGGGCTCCTGAAGTTCCCTGGTTCCTAAAGCTTTTGACTCCCAGGCTCCTAAAGCTCCAGCCTCTTAAAGCTCCTAGCTTCCAGGTTCCTAAAGCTGGCTGCCCCCCATCCCCAGGCTCCTAAAGCTCTTGGCTCCTGGGCTTCTGAAGCTCCAGATTCCTAAAGCTCCTGGCTCCCAGGTTCTTAACGTTCCTGAAGCTCCTGCTCCCCCTCCCCCTGGGCCCCTGAAGCTCCTGGGTTCCTAAAGCTCTTGGCTTCCAGGGTCCTGAAGCTCCTAGCTCCTAAAGCTCTTGGCTCCTGAAACTCCCAAGCGTCAGGTCCATGGGCACATCCCAAGCTTCCCAGGCACGAGGCAGGTTGGACTTGAGGTCAACGTGTAATTTTTCCAGAGGTCCCAAAGGTGTTCCTGGTGTTTTGCAGCAAGAAGCCGTGTGGCAGTGTGATCCTGCCCGGGAGCGCGGCGCTGACTCGTCCCCAGACAGCCAAACCTCTCATCTGTAGAACAGGCCTGGGGATGACCTGGGCGGATGCAGTCTTCCTTCCCACCCCTATCCCTTGCCTGTCTTTGCAGGCCCAGGGAGGTAGCTCTGGTTGCCCAGTCACTCTTCAGCCGTCTGCTGGAGTGAAATAGTTCCAGGCACCTGACTCTCTCGGGGGATGTCCTAGTGAACTGGATGCCTGGCTGGGGAGAGCTACTGTAGCTTGGGGCCAGCCAAGGGATTTCATACGTGCTGCTGAATGCCCAGCAGATAGCAATGTTCTCACTTCATAAAATCACTGTGTGTACAAGAGTGCCAGGCTGGGTCTGGGCAGCGGCACCAGAAACCATCCGTGTTGGCTGATATTCAGGGTGCGTACACCAATAAGTCAGTGCGTGTTTCCAAAAGTTCCCGGGGTGTAGGTTGTAGCCATGTTGGTCTAAGGACATAGGCAGACAAGGTTCTTTGGGTGAATCTGATATCTTTTATTAGACAAACTTAAAACTTTTAATAAAAGATATCAGATTCACCCAAAGAACCTGGTCTGTCCAAAAATTCCCTACGCATGTCCCACCGTGTCATACTCGGCCCTGGGCTGTAGCATGCAGACTCTCTCTCTTTCTTTCTCTCACCATATCTTTATCTTTCTATCTCTATATAGATCTATCTATATACAAATATAGATCTATACAGAGACCTATATAGAGATCTATATAGATTGTATATAGAGACGGAGAGATAAGGGATAGAGATTTTATAGTATACGTCTATAACCTATAGTGATATAGATTATCTGTATCAATATAGATAATTTGACAAGTGTTTCTCCCATAGACCCAAATTATTTTGGGAAAGGATAATAATAATGGAGGTCATCACCCATGATACAAGGATTGGTTTCTGCTTCCTGTCTCCTCAGTTCTGAGGGGATAAGCTGTTTGGTTGGGTTTTTTCCTCTCTCTGTCTCTCTGATGCTCCTAACTGTGTGCGCTGGATATTGGATTCAAATTTATTTTGCATATTTTGGGGCTGAAAATGGAGGGGAGAGTAGTTTCCTATCCTGTGCCTGTGTTTGTTCCTCTAGCATGTGGCATGCCCAGTGGAGCGTGCTCCAGCCCTCTAGAGCTGTGCCCTGGCTTTTTAAAGCTTCATACAAGTGGAAATACTTTTGTGGAAAGCTAGCACATAGCTCAGCTAGAGTTTCCATGATCTGAGCACAAGTATGTGTAGCGGCTGTGTTTAACAACAAACATGATGAGGGAACACAGACTGCCCACCATCAGAGAGTTCCTGCTTTACGATGAAGAGATATATATATTTTTTTAAAGCAAACTGAGATAAGTATGATCTCCTTTCCTCCAGGATGTGTCTATACTTAGTGTCCTGATATGACCTTTATCAGGATTGGTAGCAGCTGCTCTTGACACAAAGTGTCATGAATAAAGGGAGTTGCTGTTTTGAACAGTTTTGCTGTTGTGGACATGGCTGTCACTTCAGAACAGTGGTATGTGAAAGGAGGCGTAGTCGAACTGTTAAAACAGAGGACGAGGAACCCAGCGCTCTGGTGCTGTCTCATTAAAACTACAAATATAATCAAATATTGCACCACTGTTGCATTGCTACCTAAACTGTACTCTTGCAGAACACTACTCGAGACATAAATGTGCTCCCTTTTTATATAGAGAGGGATATGAATATACTCTTAAAACAAATCAGTATCCCATGTTCTGCCTGACTGACTTGTCTCGAGCGTGCCGGAAAGCCCATTTGGTGCTCTGTGTACCCTGAGTGTGCAGATCATGATTTTGAAGATTTGGATTCAGTTCTCAGCTCTCAAAAGGACTTTCACCGGGAGCTGGGCAAGTCATTGAATCTATTTCTCACTTCCCAATCTGTGAAATGGCAGAAAGAATCCATCCTGTAGCAATCTTGGCTACTTAAATTGAAAATCCTTTCGGTGCAGGAATTCTCCCTCACCATCTACAGTGAAATTCCAATCGTGGGTATTATGTTGACACCAAAAAGCTATATGCAGTTGGGGACCCCGTTATTTTAGTGGAGTGGTTTAAAGCATTAAAATAAAAAGAGAATGTTGTGGGATCTTGGTGGTTTCCTCTACAAAAAGCTTTGGTCAATGCTGTGGTCTGCAAATAGCTTTGGTTGAAGATATCGGCATTAATGTTATGCTGTGACCTGGTCTTTTAGGAACTGGAACTGGTGGAGGATGTATGGAGAGGGGAAGCCCAGGACCTTCTTACCCAAATAGCTCAGCTGCAGGAGGAGAACAAACAGCTGATGTCTAACCTGTCTCATAAAGACCTTAACCTCACAGAAGAGGAGTTCCAGAAACATGAAGGCAAGTTTAACTCTTGAAACTGCGTAATACCTTGGCCTCTTTTCCTTCAAAAGTGATTCATGATCAAAGATGTGTGTTGCATCTACTGCGTCTATTGCTGTCTATTCTTTTCTGGATAGATCGGGGATGGGTGGGGGTAGAATCTGTGACTAAATTGTGGAAGCAAAAGAAAGATTGGAACATCATTATTTGCTTGGAGGAGGAGAACAGTGAAAAGTAAAACTGCTTTTCTTTTGGTTGGGCGTAATATTTATTTTCTCGAGAATGGTATCTTGAGAAATGTTTTACCTCTTTGTAAATAATGCTTTGCTTTTGTAGCATAGGTTCAGTCTCTTCATGTCTGTGCAAAACAGTAGAGAGATGCAAGTGAACTTGGACATGCAGTTCAGTATACTGGAATGTAAAGCAATTAGGCTCCATTCTGCTGAGCTCAAAGAAAAACAACTAATTTACAATGAGCAGAGTTAGGAGTGGAGGGGGATCCTGCTTTGAGATATTGGCAAGACAAGACCATATGGCAAAATTTCAGAATTGTCATGGTCAAAGACCAAGGGAGAGAGTCATTATAGCAGAGAAATAACTCATCTGAGCTGGGCCTCACAAGCGGGAGCAGGCGTTGTTATTCTGCATATACATCTGTAATGAGGGTACCTGGTAAATCTTGGACAGAGCACCATGCATTTTAGAGACCTGACTAAAAATTGCCCAAATTGTAAGATGAGGTGGGTGGTTTTCATCTCAAGTATTAAATGGGCAGAAATCTTGATAGTTGATCCCAGGCCTACATCAGGGCTGCATGGATGGATCCTGCTGACTACTTCAAGGCTCTGCAGATGCCCAGGCTTCTTTCTTGCAAGATTGAGGCCTGTTACTAATATAATGGCCTGAGTTAAGGATCTGATTAAATGTACAAATATTTAATTAAAAAAATAATTGTCGGCTGCATAGTTGAAATACTACAGCCATGCACCTCATATCTTGTGTAGCTGTGGAGCACATCCCAATATGAGTTACTATTTATGGCCAAGATTTTTCAAGAGATTAATGAATTCTGTGTTTCCAGTTCTCACGTCTACACTGAGACACTTAAAGGGGTCTGTTTCGCAGAGAAGTACTAAGCACCCTTTAAGGTACCTGATGGTGAGAACCCAGCGTTATTAATCACTCTGAGCAATCTTTGAGCAGGTTCCAATTTTGAGAACCACGGCTCTAAACTGGGACTCGTAGCAGCCTCCAATAAATGCTAACGGATGGACGTTTCTCACTTAAAGAACACTAAAGTACAGGGCTAAATTCCATCCTTGGGTAGATGGGCAAAAAGCCTTCAGGCTGCAAGATGTCTTCTCAGTACTGAATCAAATCTTTAGATTGAGTACCTGTGGAGGAGTATAATGGAAGATTACAATTAAAAAGCATGAAACCCCTTTAGCGTCACTAGTTCTTGAAGATAAATGCAACTCTTCTGAGTCTCGTAGGCTGTAGTTGAGCAAGCTTTCACTATTATTGGAATTTAATTGACTGTTAATTGGGAAAAATGTCAGTGTTCAAAAAAGGGAGGGGGTGGGGGAGAGGCAGATGAGTCACAGAAGTAAAAGAACTTGACATGTTGCAGAGAGTCAGATTTCCTTTTGTTCTGCCTTCTCTCCTAGTTTTTTTTCCAATGGATAAACCCACTCAATGCAGTTTTAGTGTTTGTATTTAAATATAGTCATAAGCCTTGAGTTTAGATTGGCAAGCAAATGCTAGGCATGCTTTTCAAGGTTATTTTTACTTTAGCAGACGCACAGAAAAAACCTTCAGGAGTCAAATCTGGGGTATGGCAAAAAATGTTAGCAAACATCTCATTTACTTCAATGAGACCAGGATGTCTGTCAGATAAATATCTGTGTAACAGCGATGCAAAAGTAACTGGGAATCTGTTATGACTGGCATTGGAACTGGATGATGTAGAAGAACCTCCCATTGGAGAAATCTGTCATTCATATATAGACCCAGACCTGGGCCTCAAATCAAAGTTTCAATTTGGTTGAGAGGGAAATGCTTCCAAGGATTGTTTTCAGGGTAACCCATACTCTATGCATACTGTCTGTGGACCCAGACACAGCTTTCCAAATCTCAGAGCTCATCAAGTCTAAGTAGATATAATAAGATTTCAGGTTAAGTTTTCATAACTTAGTACAGCGGTCCATAACTTATTGCTCATAGGCAACACTTGGGCAATGAGGTCCTGGCTGCTGCTGGGGCATTCACAGGACATTAAGACTTTAAAGCTGGGTTTGACAGGGGGAGTAAAGGTGATGTTGTCTCCTATGTGTTGCTTAGTATTGTTGCTCGTGGGCCACCAAAGGTTGGGGACCACTCCCTTAGCATGACTTGGTGCCTGTGATCATGTCTCCCCACTTAGTGGCTGGACCTGGGGTTTAACAGCCTGCCTGCCAGGCAGTTGAAGAAATCCAGTTTAAGTGGTAGAGGTTTGTGGTATGGGTGCATGTTAGGTCTCTAGTTCGGTTCCTGCTAATGACTGAAGCATGTGACTGTACATAGCCTCAGCTATCTCCCATCTGAAAACACAGCTCTTCTGTGAGGCATCTTGAAAATAACTGGGGCTCCTGCTTTATTATCAGTGTAGGCAATGCAAGTCTCCATTCAGTCATAAGAAGGTATATGTGGCTTCTTAGGGCGGTGGGGGAGAAAGAGTTACAACAGTGCCTTATCTTTTAGCAAAAGTTCTTTCAAAGTCACTTTTAAACAAGCCCTGACAAGTGTGGTTTGGGTAGGGCAGAGCTGCTGCCATCCCTTTCTGAGTACTTTGGAAGTCAATGCTCAAACAATTAAAGGCACAATACTTTAGTAGCCTTGTTGCATGAGGCAGGTCATTTGGCTTGAAGAAAGTGTCCTGTAATGAGTCAGCCTTGAGGCCAAAAGTGTGGAAGAAGGAAAAGCAGTAAGGTGAGCTACTCTTCTTGGAAGCCTTGAGCCGAACAGGGTTATTCGGTAAGTTGTGGGGCAGAAGACAGAGTTCAAAGTAGATGCGGCAGGATTCTGAGCAGTCTTATTAATGTTGCTTTTATTCATCAAATTAATCCTGTAAGGCCGTTGGCTGAACGGTCCATCCCCGGTGTAACACCACTGGTGAATTTAGTTGAAGGCGCAGGGACGTGCTGTGGGAGAAGATCCTACACCCTACCGTCTCAGATAGGATTGCGGCAGGACGGGCATATATAGGAAGCTCCCGAAAAAGCTCTCTCGCACTTGTGTCCTAAAAAAGACTCTGTTCCAAATCCTCAGAAGATATTTAGGCCCTGAATTTCCATTGAGATCAGTAGAAGTAAAGCGCCTAAATACTCAGGTGGATCTAGGCCCCAGCCCTCTACTTCTCATCTGATCATGTCTTAGTTTTGGTTTGGGATTATATTTCAATCTCAGTTACTGAAGCCAGTTCCAGGAAACAGGTCGTGCCATAGTAAAACAGTGAATGGGAAGTTGTTGAATCTCTTTCACTGAAGGCTTTCAATCAGAGGCTGGATGGGCATCTGTTTGAGGTGGAAGGGAAACAGCACATCCTGAATCTCTGGAAGGGTCTGGACTAGACTTTTGAAGTCCATTTCAACCCTTGGTTGAGAGGCCTCAGCAAGTTGCAGGATGCTTGCTGCATGGGAGGAGATATTTTTGTCTGCTTATCCAGGAACCCAGCCTACCACAGTTATTCAACAATACATTTGGATCATGAAAACTTAAAGATGTAGCACACGGTCTGTGATACCAGCAGGGGCCTCAGGTGGACACTATCAGGCATTAAACAGATACAACAGTGTGTTGTTGTTTTTGTTAGGGCAGGCACCCAATAAAATCCATGAGGGTCTGATAATTTAATTCAGTGTTAATAGGATGAGGCTCTTATCTCCTTCCAGAAGAATCATGCGGGTGTAAGGAAAGAGCCTTTAAACATATCCTGGATGGTTGATGTTAAAGTCTTCTTGGAAATATGACAGTATATTTAAATTGTACTTGCTACACAATTTCATTTTAATTATGTGACTGTATGGCCCCCAGTATAAATACTAGAGGCCCTAATCTGGGCCTAATTTCTGTTTTGCTGAGTAGAGATGCATTTTGAGCTGCTTTCTTTCTTGCCACGCCATACAACAACAAATCAAGCTTGCTCACCAATCCAAAGGAAGCTGTGGATGGGGTGAGCTTGGGGAAGCCACCTGGGTGTGCCATTTAAGATCCTGCAGATAGCAGAGACTGAATCGTGGAGACTGCCAGTCTTGCACTCATTGGGCTTGGCTGCTTTCTCTTTTCCTGTGTGTTTAAGATACGGCAAAAGAAGAAAACGCTTGTGGAACACAAACATCCTGCACCTCATCCTCAAAGAAAATGATTCTGTGATCCATGTTGAGTCAGCAGAAGTCCTTCATGTTCACCAGATGCCAGAAAGGAAAAAGAGGGGTGAGGGGAAGGGAGTCGGTTTAATGACACACAGATGCTTTGCTCCTTAAATAGCATATGGTAGCTGGGGGGG